CGATCCTCCTGCCTTGGCCTTCGAAGGTGCTGGGATTACAGATGCGAGCCACTGCATCTGACCTAAAGAAGACCATCCAGCAGTAGAAGCTGTCCAGCAAACCAGGCTTGGTGGCTCATGCCTGTAATCCCAACACTTTGGGAGGTCGCGCTGAGCAGATCACCTGAGGTTAAGAGTTCAAGAGCAGCCTGGCCAACATGGTGAAACCCTGTCTCTACTAAAAACACATAAAATTAGCTGGGCGTGGCAGTGGGTGCTTGTGATCTCAGCTATTCAGAAGGCTGAGGCAGGAGAATCACTTGGACCTGGGAGGCGGAGGTTTCAGTGAGCCCAGATTGTGCTATTACACTCCAGACTGGGCAACAAGAGCGAAACTCCATCTCAGAAATAGAAAGAAGCTGTCCAGCAGTGGGGTGAGATGTCTTGCCCCATAGGGAGCTCCCCATCAGGGAGACAGTCAAACAAGGCAGAGGAATCATCTTTCCTGAGTGTTCAGGGTGATTCGAACTTCTCTGTTTGGGCAAGAGTGCATTATCTCTGACCCTGGGATTTTCCCAATATGCATTGCTCCACAGCTCAAGGTGGTTTCAGGATTCCTACCCTCACCCCTAGCTGTGTATTTAAAATTGTAGAGCTAGGTCTCATGCAAGAGCAAATGTATTTGAAGATAAAATATTTTTCTTGTGAGAACTATATTCTTTATAAATTTTTGTTCTTTAATTTATTAAAAAATCTATAATAGATGTACATAGTTTCAGAGTATGTGATAATTTAATATGTTATATAATCTGTAAAGAGCAAATCAGTGTACTTGGAATATGTATCACCCTAAATATTTCTCTTTATGCTGGAAACATTCAAATTATTCTCTTCTAGTTATTTGTTTGGTTATTTATTTGCGTATTTTTAGAGGCAGAGTCTCACTCTGTCACCCAGGTTGAAGTGCAGCAACGCGACCATAGCTCACCGCAGCCTGGAACTCCTGGGATCAAGCCATCTTCCCACTTCACCAAGTAATACTTGGAACTATAGCGATGCACCAACAAGCCCAGCTAACCTTTTAAATTTTTTGTAACGACGGGGTCTCACTATATTGCCCAGGCTGGTCTTGAGCTCCTGACTTCATAGTCCTGCCTTGGCTTCCCAAAATGCTGGGATTATAGATGTGAGCCACCATGCCTGGCCTCTTCTAGCTATTTTGAAATGTACAATTCATTATTGTAACCTATAGTCACCATACTGATTTATCTAACACTGGGTCTTATTATTTTTTTCTTTCTTTTTTTTTTTGTTTGTATGTTTTGTTGTTGTTGTTGTTGTTAGAGACAGATTCTCACTCTGTCACCCAGGCTGGAGTGCAGTGGTGCAGTCTTGCTTACTGCAACCTCTGCCTCCCAGGTTCAGGTGACCCTCTTGCCTCAGCCTCCCGAGTAGCTGGGATTACAGGCGCCCACCATCATGTCTGGCTAATTTTTGTATTTTTAGTAGAGACGGGGTTTCACCATGCTGGCCAGGTTGGTCTCGAACTCCTGACCTCAGGTGATCTACCTGCCTCTGCCTCCCAAAGTACTGGGATTACAGGTGTGACCCACTGCACCCGCCCTTATTTCTTCTATCAAAATGTATATCTGTAGGCATTAATCATCTGCTCTTCATTGCCACCCCCTTCCCTCCTCTGTTAGCTACCAGCCTACTTTCTGTCTTCATGAAATCCACTTTTTTAGCTCCGATATATGAGTGAGAATATGCAATATTTGTCTTTCTGTGCTTGATTTATTTCACTTAACATAATGATCTCCTGTTGCATCTGTGTTGCTGCAAATGATAGTATTTCATTCTTTTTTATGGCTGAATACTATTCCATTGTGTATATATGCCACATTTTCTTTATCCATTCATCTGTTGAAGTGCACTTAGGTTGAATCTATACTTTAGGTATTGTGAATAGTGCTGCAAAAAACAAGGGCTGCAGATATCTTTTTGATATATTTGGTTTTCTTTTAAATATCTATTCAGTAGTGGAATTACTAGAGCATTTGGTCATTCTTCTTCTTCTTTTTTTAACCTTTTTTTTTTTTTTTTTTTNTTTTTGAGACGGGGTCTCTCACTCTGTCACCCAGGCTAGAGTGCAGTGACACAATCATGGCTCACTGCAGGATTGACCCCCTGGGCTCAAGCAGTCCTCCTGCCTCGGGCTCCTGAGTAGCTGAGACTACAGGTGCAGGCCCAGCTAATTTTTTTTTAAATGAGATCTTGCTATATTGCCCAGGCTGGTCTCAAACTCTTGGCCTCAAGTGATCTTCCCAGTAGTTCTATTTTGAATGTTTTAGGAACCTTCATACTGTTCCCTGTAGTGGCTGTACTATTTTACATTCTCGCTAACAAGTGTTCCCATTTCTCGGCATCTTCGCCAGCATCTGTCTTGGCCTGTATTTTTGATAAAAGCCATTTTCACAGGGGTAAGATGATACCTCATTGTAGTTTTGATTTGCATGTCTCTGATGATTATGATGTTGAGCATTTTTTCATATACCTATTGACCATTTGCATGTCTTCTTTAGAGAAATATCTGTTCAAATCTTTTGCCCATTTTTAAATCAGATTATGTGGGCTTTTTTGCTATTTGAGTTGTGTGAGTTCCTTATGTATTTTGGTGGTTAATCTTTTATCAGATGAATAGGTTGTATAAGTTTTCTCTCATTCTGGGGGTTGTGACTTGACTTCGTTGATTGTTTTCTTTGCTGTGCAGAAGCTTTTTAGATTGACACAGTCCCATTTGTCTATTTTTGCTTTGGTTGCCTATGCTTTTGAGGTCTTGTGCAGAAAGTCTTCACCTAGTCCCATGTTCTAGGGTATTTCTCCAACGTTTTCTTCTAGTGCTTCATAGTTGGAGGTCTTAGATTTAAGTCTTTAATCCATTTTGATTTGGCTTTTGTGTAGAAGAGATCTAGTTTCATTCTTCTGCATATAGTTATTCAGTTTTCCCAGCACCATTTATGGAAGAGACTGTCCTTGCCCCAGTGTATGTTCTTGGCACCTTTGTCAAAGATGAGTTGGCTGTAATTGTGTGGATTTATACCTGGGTTCACAGACAACAAGTTTTTTTTTTTTTTTTTTTGAGAAAGATGGGATCTTACTCTGTCACCCAGGCAGAGTTTACTGCAGGCTTGACCTCCCGAGCTCAGGTGATCCTCCTAGCCTCCCGAGTAGCTGTGACCACAGATGCCTGCCACCCCATCCAGCTAATGTTCACATTTTTTTGTAGAGATGGGATTTTCCCACGTTGCCCAGGCTGGTCTTGGACTCCTAGATACAAGTGATCCCCCAGCCTTGTCCTTAAGTGCTGATATTAAAGGCATGAGCTACTGCACCCAGCCGACAAGATCTTAAACTCAGAAAAACCAAAGATTCCACCAAGAAACTATTAGAACTGATAAACAAATTCAGCAAAGTTGCAGGATGCAAAGTCAAAATACAAAAATCAGTAGCATTTCTATATACCAACAGTGAACAATCTGAAAAAGAAATACGAAAGCAATCCCATTTATCCTAACTATAAAGGATTTAAAATACCTAGGAATCAGTTTAACCAAAGAAGTGAAAGGTCTATACAAGGAAAACCATAAAACACTGATGAAAGAAATTGAAGAGGACACACACAAAAAAGGAGATGTTCCATGCTCATGGATTAGAGGAACTAATATTGCTAAAATGACAATGCTCCCCAAAGCAATGTATAGATCCAATATAATCCCTATCAAAATTCCAAAGACATTCTTCACAAAAATAGAAGATAAGTCCTAAGATTTACCTGGAACCACAAAAGACCTAACAGCCAAAGCAATCCCAAACAAAAAGAACAAAGCTGGGAGCATCACACTACCTGACTTCAAAATTTACTACGAAGTTTTAGCCACCAAATCAGCACAGTACTTGCATTAAAAACAGGATACATGGAACAGACTAGGGAACCCAGATATAATTCTTATATTTATTAAATTGATTTTAGTTGTAGAAGTACATTAATCATGACAGATTTTAGAAAATAGAGACAGGATGAACAGTCATTCCTAACTCCACTCCTGACGCGGCCACTGCACGTTGTCCTGTCCGAGCTTTCTCCTCTGCTCACTTTTTACACTGTTATGTCAGGGTGGTGGAAACAGCTCTGCATCCCTTCTTGATTGCTGGACACTATGATGTGAATATTTCTATGTAGCCACCACCTTTATCATTTTTAGTGACTGCTTAATACACCATAGGGTGGATGCCTATTATTTCCTTAGATTTTGTTTTAAAACAACATAGCACATGAACCTCTTCAAAGATGGATAATGAGAAAGCAAAAACCTTCTGCTTTTTAAAAATTTTTTTTGTGTGACAGAGTCTCACTCTGTCACCCAGGCTGGAGTGCAATGGCATGATCTCAGCTCACTGCAACCTTGGCCTCCTGGGTTCAGGCGATTCTCCTGCCTCAGACTCCTGAGTAGCTGGGTCTACAGGCATGTGCCACCACACCCGGCTAATTTTTTGTATTTTTGGTAAAGACGGGGTTTCACTGTGTTAGCCAGGATAGTCTCGATCTCCTGACCTCGTGATCCGTCTGCCTTGGCCTCCGAAACTGCTGGGATTACAGGCATGAACCACCATGCCCAGTCTAACCTTCTGCTTCTTTAAAGAAGAAATTACACAATCTCTCTCCCATCTTGTAAAGGAAGTGTGTTCACCAAGTGGCCACAGGAGAGGAGAGCAAGCATGTGTTGAGCCCTGCTCTGTGGCAGGTGTTGGGTTGGGTGTCAGCTCAGGCAGTCCTATGGTCACCAGGTACATGTGGCCATCTCTGTTTTGTAGGTGAGACCATTGGGTCTAGAAACACTGGCTTAAGGTCTCACAGCTGTCTTCACGTAGGGCAGGGCTCCAAAGCCCCAGGGGAGATCTGCCAAGGAGGGCTTGTGCTCAGTCCTATCAACCTGTGGGTAACAGGCCTTTTGGTGTTTCAGGATTTCCATGGAGCTGTCATGAGGGCCTTGGATGACATGGACCATGAAGGCAGAGACACATTGGCCCGGGAGGAACTGAGACAGGGCCTGAGTGAACTCCCAGCCATTTACGAACTTCACCAAGGCATCCTGGAGGAGCTGGAGGAAAGGCTGTCAAATTGGTGAGCAGTCCCTGGACCCCAAGGCTCCACTTTTGTTGCACTGGGAGAATGGAGAGGGATAAAAACACCACCGTATGAAATGGGATCTCCATTTGGTGGATGGGAAAGCCAAACTCAGAAGTGTTAAGTCATTTACTCAAAGTAAAACAACTATGCAAGGGTTGAGCTGGGATCTGCACCCAGGGATATGACTCCAGGCCCCCGCTTCTAACCCTCTGTTGGTTACAAGGCTGAGTTCTCAGCGTCCCATCCCCCTCCCCCCTGACTGCAGGGAGAGCCAGCAGAAGGTAGCTGACGTCTTCCTGACCCGGGAGCAGGGGTTTGATCACCACGCCACTCACATCCTGCAGTTCGACAGGTACCTAGGTCTGCTCAGTGAGAATTGCCTCCACTCTCCCCGGCTGGCAGCTGCTGTCCGTGAATTTGAGGTGGGTCACTTGATCCTCTGAGACCCTGCTGTAAGGATGCAGGGGTTGGGCGAAGGGCTTAATGCAAATCAGTGGGACATCTTAGTAGGTCTGGGGCTGGGGAGCAGACAGGGAAAACCTGGCCAGAAGGATGAGAGGATGACCCATCAGGAAGGAGAACCCTGAACATCCCCTGTTGGGCAGCAGATGACAGTGCAGTGAGTGCTACCCACAGGAAGGATCTCAGGGGTAGTTTTCTTGTCCCAGTTGATAAGCACCAACCAAGCTAGTGCCCCAGCCATTGGAATGTTCAAGGAAATTCCCAGTACTAGCCACAAACTGGGGATCCAGTTTTCCTGGGCAGAAAAAGAGGGAGCTTTCCTCCATTGATAAGATTAAGAGGGAAGCAGGGACTCAGAGAGGCTTGATACGGAGTAGAGCACCAACTGGTAACATGATGGAGTGAGCAATTAGTTACAGTAGGGCCGGGCTAATCCAGAAGGGCTTCCTGCAGGAGGAGAACCTGGTTTTGGAGATGAGGGAGAAGCTCCTCTGGGCCGGGAAGAGGTGTGGATGGGATGGCGTACATGGGCTGCTGTAAGCCTGGTGCCCTCGGGAGGAATTTCTGATAAGGTTTTTCCTCCCCTCTCTTGAGAGCAGCAGAATGTACAAGGAGGTGGCCAGACTGCAAAGCATCGGCTGCTGCGGGTGGTTCAGCGCCTCTTCCAGTACCAAGTGCTCCTCACAGGTGGGCCCCACAGGAGCTCATGGGGGACTGAGGTGGAGGGGCAGGGAAGGCCTCTGAGGAGGGGTGGAGGCGACTGTGGCAGGCAGGTGTTGGGGAAGGATGGCCTCTGCCTTCACCTTTCCCTCCAGTTGAGCTTTGAGCCCCATGAACCATCTCCTGCCACCTTAGAAAGCTCCCTCCAGTGGCCATCCCAACCCTAAAACACAAAAACCCGGTGATACCCCTCCCCAGCTTGCACTTCCTCCCTGCCTCAGCTGGCCATCTCTTCATTTCACTGGAGCCCTCCTTGTGGCCACATTAGTGGGCATTTTTAGCCTTGGACCTGATAGACCCCTCACCACTTCCTGCTTTCGAGTGTTTTCCTCTGGGTTTCTGTGGCATATTCTCTCACACTTCCCTCCCATCTCTGTCCCTTCTCTGTCTCTGCTGGTGTCCTCCCGTCCTCCAGTGCACCATAAACATCAGAGCTTCTCAGGGCTCAGTCCAGGGTCACCTTCCCTTCCCTTCCCTCTCTGTGCCCTTTCCCCTATCTCTGCCTGCTGGAAACACCCACTTCTCTGTTCCGAGCTCCAGACCCATTTATCCAACTGCCTCCCAAATAAACAAGGACTCCTGCCCTGGGCAACTGATGTCCTAGTGAGAGAGACAGACCGTACATATGTAGGCATGGATATGTAATTCCAGGTAACAACTGGGGCTCCTCAAAAATACATTAGGGCCAGGGACTAGAGAATTCATTCATCTAATCCAAAAACTATTTATTGAGTGTACCAAGTCCCACTCTGGATGCTGGAGATGCAGCAGTGAATCAAACAGCAAACTCAGGGACACTGTGGAGCTTATACCCTAGACAAGCAAATCAGAAAGCCGAAAGATAATGTCTGTTAAGAACTCGTAAGAAAAATAAAACAAGTTAAGGAGACAGAGGGAACAGGGCTGCTGTGTTAGACTCAGTGATCAGGGAAGACCTCTCTGAGGAGGCAGCATTGGACAGAGATCTCAGTAATGTGAGGACATGAGCCATATGAAGATCTGAAGAGAGTGCCAAGCAGAAGGAACAGCAAGTGCAAAGGCTCTGGGGTAGGAACAAGCTTGGCACATTCAATAAAGCCAGCATGGCCAGAACAGAATGAGCAGATGGAAGAGCAGTCACAGGGAGGGACTGGAGGATGCAGAGCCTGGAGAGCATGAATGTACTACAGGTTCCACAGGACTCTGCTGTGTTGATATCTACGTCTTTCTCCACTAGTGGACTGTGTGCTTCTTAAAGATGGATTCACCTTGTTGTGTCTGTCTCCAAGGCATGGCCCAGTGCCAGGCACACAGCAGGCGCTCAGTGGGTGTCTGTTGGATAAGTGAGTGACAAGCAGCTGTGGCAGCAATGCTGACGGTGGTCCTGGGGGCCTGGTTTTATGCTAGCATGGTATTGTGATGGGACCAGCAGGGGAGAGAGGGTACATGCCTCATTCTTCTCGAACCTCCAGCTTTGGCAAGAGAGGGGTCACAGTTGTGGGCAGGAGGGGCTGACCTCGCCAGTAGCTGACTCCTGGCTCTCGTCCTACCAACAGACTATTTAAACAACCTTTGCCCGGACTCCGCCGAGTACGACAGCACACAAGGTGAGTCCCGCAAGAACGCAGAGAGAAGTACTCGAGCCTGCTCTGCCTCCTTGCCCCAAAACCTGGACCCTGCCCCAGTTCCGAGGCCCGGGACATAGTCCCCTCCCCACCAGCTGGGTGGGTTCTGCATATGACACATCCAGGACTTCTTTGAGAACCCCAGCTCTTCTGAGACGGATCCCCCCTCACCTTAGCTGTGGAGACATCCTAGGATGGGAGGACATCCCGTCAGAGGGGGATGGGGGTCACCAGAATTTGGTGACAGGGAGGGGTGTGCCAGGTCTGAAAAGCCTACCGCAGTCTCCCTGTTTCCTCCCAATTCGATGTGGCTGTCCCTTTGTATCACCTGCCAGTATGGTCCCTAATATAACGTATTCAGTTTACAGCCAGGGAAACTGAGGCATGCCTGAGCGTGGTCAAATCACTGTCAAAGTCACTTAGGCAGTAGTGGCCAAGCTGGGGTTGAGGCCTGTGACCTGACACTAGAGTGGGGAGAATTGATGCCCCTCCTGCAGTGGCCCAACTCCTGCTCTGCCTCCCTCCCCAGGTGCACTGAGCCTCATCTCCAAAGTCACAGACCGTGCCAACGACAGCATGGAGCAAGGGGTGAGTGCAGCCCGGTGGCCCCCTTCCTCAGACACAGGTTCCAGGCACCTCCCTACCCGTTCTGGTCAGCCGTCTGGTGCTCCACTTCTAGGAGCTGCGGGCAACTATCTCTCTTGTGGGACTCTACAGAGAGCCTTGGGTTCTGGCTCTGACCCTTGATGTGTGACCTCAGGCCCTGTGTGCCCCTCTCTGGGCCGTTGGTTCACCATTCAGACAATGAGAGGGGCTGCAGACTTGTGGAGAACTGATAAGCAATGCCCCACTGTGGTCCAAGGCCACCCACATCAGCACCTGCGGTGCTTTGTAAACTCCTAGTTCCTGGGCACACCTTAGATCCTCCCAGTCAGAGCTTCTGCATGTAGGATCTAGAGATCTGCATTTTTAATAAGCACTCTGGGTAAATGTTAGGACCACAAAAGTTGGAGAATCACTAGTCCACTAGAATACATGCTTGAAGCACAGATCTGATTCTGACTGTGTGTGACTCTGTTAGACGCTGATCAGGTGTTTGCTGGGTTTCTGCCAAAGAGGGCAGAGTTGACCCTGCATCCAAGCTCCATTCAGGTGACCACCAGGGTTACTTGCGTCCACATGCTCACTGCCCTGCTAAGCTGTAAGCATGTCAGCACTCTGTGTTGAGAATTGTTCCAAGCCCAAGTCCTAGATCACTGAAAAAGAGTTCAGTGACCAGCTAGCTAGTCATGTCTTCTGCAGGCACAGAAGGGAGATGATGTGTGCCAAGGGGGTGCTACGTTTTGCTGTGGTGAACAAATAAGGCATGCATACAGTGAGTCATCCACAGGCAGAAGAGGAGGGGAAATTGCATTTATTGGACACCTGCTATGTGTCAGACTTTGTACTGTTTTGGGGACTGGAGATACAAGGTGATAAGACATGAATCCCAGCCCTCGAGGAAACCTCTGCTTAGTGAAGTAGTAAATATGTGGATGCAAATGACCGTGATAGACGTCATGGGAGAGAATGCCACAGGGTTCAGAAAAGGGAGGCGGCCCTTCCAGCTGAGGCTGCCAGAAGAGATGATACAGGCCAGGTGCGGTGGCTCATGCCTGTTATCCCAGCATTTTGGGAGGCCAAGGCAGGTGGATCACTTGAGGTCAGGAGTTCAAGACCAGCCTGGCCAACATGTTGAAGCCTGTCCCTATTAAAAATATAAAACTTACCTGGGTGTGGTAGCATGCGCCTGTAGTCCTAGCTGTTCGGGATTCTGAGGCTAGAGAATCGCTTGAACCTGGGAGGCGGAGGTTGCAGTGAGCTGAAATCATGGCACTGCACTCCAGCCCGGGCAACAGAGTGAGACTCCATCTTAAAAAAAGAAAAGAAAAAGATATGGAGGTGCCCTGATAGGGAGGATTTGCATACATGCCAGGAAAGCAGAGGGAGAAAAAGGGGTGCCGGGAAGAGGGCTGGCCTGGGCAAAGGCATGGAGGTGGGATGGTACATGCTGGAGTTCAGAGAGCCACCTACCATGGCTGGGAGACAGGGAAAGGATGGCAGGGTAGGAACCAGAGTCCAGGGAGAGAGGTCGGGCTGGCTGGTGAGGGGTGGACTGACACTGGAGGCTGAGCCAGCTGGGTATGAATTACACAGGCCAGTTTCTGGGCGAGTTTCTGCGTGGGTCAGACATGCCCTTTTCTTTCTTTCTTTCTTTCTTTCTTTCTTTCTTTCTTTCTTTCTTTCTTTCTTTCTTTTCTTTCTTTTCTTTCTTTTCTTTCTTTTCTTTCTTTCTTTTTTCTTTTCTTTCTTTCTTCTTTCTTTCTTTTTTAATTATACTTTAAGTTCTGGAGTACATGTGCAGATTGTGCAGGTTTGTTACACAGATATACACATACCATGGTTGTTTGCTGCCTCCATCCCCCTGTCATTTACATTAGGTATTTCTCCTAATGTTATCCCTCCCCAATCCCCTCACCCCCTGCTATCCCTCCCCTAGCTCCCCCACCCCTCGACAGGCTCCAGTGTATGATGTTCCCCTCCCTGTGTTCATGTGTTCTCATTGTTAAACACTCCCTTATGAGTGAGAACATGTGGTGTTTGGTTTTGTTCTTGTGTCAGTTTGCTCAGAATGATGGTTTCTAGCTTCATCCATGTCCCTGCAAAGAACATGAACTCATCCTTTTTTATGGCTACATAGTATTCCATTTGCCACATTTCCTTTATCCAGTCTATCATTGATGGGCATTTGAGTTGGTTCCAAGTCTTTGCTATTGTAAACAATGCCGCAGTAAACGTGTGTGCAAGACATGGCCTTTTCATCTGGCCTTCTCTCTCACTCTGCCCTGCACTGACCTCCCTGCTCCTCATCATTTTGGCATCCTTTATATATAGTGAGAGTCTCTCAATGCAACCAAAAAGGAGAGATGCTTTGGGATCCAGCGCCCTGTAGAGGAATAGCAGCATATGGGCTGGGTTCTCCACATTTCCCTTCAGCCAGGCTGCCTCTGTTTCCAGAGAGAAAAACTAGGTCAGGCAGGGATGCATATTCCCTCCTACAGGAGAGCTTGCACACGCGGCCCCACCCAGAGGAGGAAGCAGAGTAGCCGATAACCAGATACCCTCCTGGCTTTCTCCAGGGCTGAAGTTGGATGCTGTTCTGGGAAGCAGGGGCCAGCTGTGGACAGCTGTGGGCAGCTGCACCAGGCCTGCTCTGGACCAGAGGCCCCCTAGCCCATGCCTGCTTGGATTGGGTGGAGACTGTGCCTGGGACATTTACTCTTTTGCAGTTCCGTGGTGTGGAGCACATTCACATTGCATGCAGCTGTCACACCATTCAACTTCAGAACTTTTCCTCTTCTCAGACTGAAACTCTCTCCCCGTTAAACTCTTAATTCCCCATTTCAGTCTCCTCCCCAGCCCCTGGTAACCACCATTCTGCTTTCTGAATGGATTTTATTTTTTAAAACAATGTTAAATGTACAGAAAGTTTGAGAAGATAGTGCAGAGAGTCTCCATGTATCCCACACACAGCGTTCTCTGTTATGAACATCTTATATGAGTTTGCTACATTTGTTACATCCAAGCACATAATGATACAGGATTATTAACTGAAGACCCTAGTTCATTCAGATTCCCTTAGTTTTGCCTGGTATCTTGTTCCAGAGTCCCATCCAGGATCCTGCATGCTATTTAGAGGCCCTGTCACCTTGGGGTCCCCTTGACTGCAGTAGTTTCTCATTTTCCTTGCTTTTGATGAGCTTGACAGTTTTCAGGATTACTGGTCAGGTATATAGCGGGATGCCCTTCTGGTGGAAATGTCTGATGTTTTTCTCCTGATTAGACTGCCTGTTTGTTTATCTGGGAAGAGGCTCACAGAGGAGTACTTTTCATCTCATCATATGAAGGACACATTCTAGCAACAGGATTTACCACTGTTGATGTTGACCTTGGTCACCTGACTGAAGTCACCTGGTGGCAGGTTTATGCAGCTTACACTTAGGAGTGGGTGTTATGCTCCCTCCCCTTGAGGGCACCACATCTATCTAGGTTATGTGGAATTCTGCCTGGGAGATTTGTCTCTTCTCCCTCATTGGCTAGTGTATCTAGTCATTATATATAAAGAAGTCATTTATATCAGTATGGACTCATGGATATTTATTTTACACTTTGGTTTATAATCCAATACTTCATTATTTTATTTCTTGAATTGTTTCAGCTTTAGCTGTTGGGAGTGTTTTCAGTTGATTTCTGTGCCCTTTTCACATGGCACCATCAATATAGATTTTGAGGGTGTGTGTGTGTGTGTGTGTGTGTGTGTGTGTGTGTGTTTTGAGCACTTCTTTACTCTCTGGCAGTGCAAGATGCTCCAGGATCACTCATCTTATACATTTCCTGGTGTCCCAGTCTTAGAATCAGTCACTTCTCCATGGAACCCTGGTTGCATTAATTGGATAGTTGTATTAGAAGCCAACATACAGACATTAAGTACACTCACTGCTAACGCAGTATCATTTATTTTAAGCTTCCTTAGCTGACAGCAAAGAAATGTATGTGTATACCAACCCTTGCATATACCCATATCTGTAGATATTTCCATACATAACCATCTGTATCTGAATAGTAAACTAACCATGAGTTTTATTTTATTTTTTGCAGAGATGGAGGGCCTACTATATTGCCCAGGCTGGTGCCAAGCAATCCTCTTGCCTCAGCCTTCCAAAGTGCTGGGATTATAGGCATTAGCCACCATGGCCAGCCTTAATTTATTTTTATTTTATAGTATTTTGTGTATTTGTTTTTTACCATGAGTTTTTACCAATGTTTCCTATTCTGATCATCACACTAGCCTCCTCCCCTTGCTTATCTGTAAATTCTCACTCCAATAGTGAGAACCTGGTTCCCACCACCCATAAACTTAATTGCTCAATTTACCTTGAACAGTTTGTGAAAGATATTTTTCCTGGGTATAGAAATCTGGATGGACAGTTTTTCTTTGATGCCACTCCACTGTCTTCTGGCTTACATCATTTCCAGCATAAAGACTGCTGTGATGCTCATGAGTGTCTGTCTTTGTGTAATGTGTCCCTTTTTTTCAGGCTGCCTTTAAGATTTTCTCTTTTGATTTGATTTTGGGAAGTTTGGCTGTGATGCGTCTGTGTATGTTTTGTGGCGGATGGGGTGTGCTTTATCCATTTGTAATTCTTGAGCTTCTTGGATCTGTGGTTTGTTGTCATTCATTAGTTTTGGGAAATCCTCTTGGATGCTCTGTTCTTTTTCTCCACTCTTTGTGTTTCGGTGTGGGTCATCCCCACTAGTCTATCTTCAAGCTCGTGGAGTCTTTCCTCAGCTGTGTTCCCTTTGCTGCTAAGCCTGTCAAAGGCATTCTTTATTTCTGATACTGATTTTTTACTTCTAAAATTTCTACTGGACTCTTTTGTATGGTTTTCATCTCTGCCAAAATCCTCCACCTGCTCATAGGTGGTATTCACCTTTCCTGCCAGGTCCTTTTACACCCCAATCAGAGCTACTTTAAGGTCTGATGGCTCTGACACCTGTGTCCCTTTGCACTGTGGTTTGTGGAATGCTTTCTCCTCTTGAAAATGAGTTGGGGTTGGGGAGTTTTTTGCTTGCTTTTTGTGTTCCTCATAATTTGTTATTGAAAGCCAGGCTTTATGTGTAGAGGCACTGTAGAGACTGAGATAAATCGTATTTACCCCCCAAGGTGGGCAAGCCTCTTTTTCAGTCATGCTGTTCACGGTGGGGGACAGGGCAGTCAGGTCAGTCCAGTCGGCATCTGAGCTGGGTCTGGGTTTTGCTGACATGTCATCAACCTTCAGTGCCTGCCAGGCTTCATGCTTCTCCAGCAGGGGCTGCTGTGACCTGTGGAGTGGGTCAAAGAGCTTTTTTCTCATTCCTGCTCCATATTCAGCTTTTAGCCCTCCCTGCACCACAGGAAGTCTCTCTCTCCATCCTCTGGTCCTTCCCAGAAGCAGGCTACTGCCCTGTGTTACTCAGCGCTGGGCTTATTATGGTGGGCACATGCCTCCATCTGAAGCAGAGCCTGTGAGCCAGGCTCACCCTCCATGGCAGCTGAGCTCTGCAGCTCTGTGGCTGGCCTTAGACAGGTTTCTGGCTTTCCCCCAGCAAGGCATTGATGCATAGTACTGGGTCCAAGGGGTTCCCGCCCCCCTCCTATGGTGCAGCTTTTGCTCTCTTTCCTTAGAGCAGCAGATCTTTGCCTGGGCTCCAAGGGTGGGAGGTCTCCTGGTCCCCCCGGGGAGCTGAAGCCTTGCATGAGAGAGGGCCTGAGGAAGTGGGCAGGGTTTTGCATGTGGCCCTGCCCTACCTTGGTCTTCCTTGTGGGCAGAGACTTGTGAATGAACGCTTTCGAGTAAGGACAGATTCCCTCGGTCTGCAGCTCCCCATTACTCTAAACTGGCACCAGTCCATACTTCTCCTTTAAGAATTTATTGACATTTTCTCTGCTCTCTTCTTACCTTCCTTTAACCAGCCCCCTCTGCCTCCTGTGTGGTGCCAGGGGTGCGGCAGTCCCTGCGTCTCATTCCTCTGTGGATGGGCTTGCCAGGCAGAACCCAGCGCACTTAGATGCCTTGTGACCCCCACTCTCTCACAGGCTGAAGCAGAGTTATGATTTTCAAGGTTATCTGGCTTTTTCTTACTACAATGAGAGCAGTGTTCTCTTGTACTTCCTACATCATAAGCAGAAATGGAACCACAGTTACTCATTTTTTACTACATAAAATTTTACTCCCCAAACCACAGATAATGGAAAGGACTTTTCAGGGTAGATTATCTACCCACAGTGCTCACCTTATGCCTTTAGAACCTGCCCTGTGTAAGGTTAAAGGAGCACCTGCCCACGGTGTGGGGGTGGGCGCTTGTTTCTAGGATTGTGGGGTGCTGTGCAGAGGAGACAGGGGGCTGTCACTTTATATTTTGTGGCTAACTCAGTGAGGTACTGACAGGGCACACTTATTTTTCTAACCATGAGGCTTCACAGAGTATTGACCCAGTTTCCTCTGCAGGTGCTATGTTTTTGGGCTGCTCCCCCTTGAAGACCCCCCTGGGCTGCAAGCCAGGAAAGCCTGAGGCCAGCTTTGGGTCTGGTGAAGTTCTCATGCTCCAGGCCTCATGAGAGATAATGGATTAGAGACAGTAGGAGCTGTTGTCCAGAGAAAAACAGGGATGTTGGGCAGCACAGCAAGGCCAGGCAGCTGCCTCCGTAGCACACGCAGTGATGGTGGTGGCGACCTGCAGACCCAGGCTCAGGTCCCAGTCCTGCCTCGTACAGGAGGTTGGATTTGGGGCAGGCCTTTCCGGGCTTCATTTTTGTCTGAAACAGAAGCAATGCCATGCCTTACGGAGGAGATAAGACGCCTAGAAGGGGCCCTGACCATCTCCCCCTCGCCCCATTCCCACCCACAGGAAAACCTGCAGAAGCTGGTCCACATTGAGCACAGCGTCCGGGGCCAAGGGGATCTCCTCCAGCCAGGAAGGGTGAGTGCCGCCGCCGTGGGCAGGGGCAGAGGGTGGCTGGGCGAGGCTCCGATAAGTCCCATTGTTCACTGGGCTGGCCCCAGACAGGCCTGGCTGCAGGTGCTGTCTACCGTGGAGGGCAGGCAGGCGGGTGGGTGTGGGCTCACTGAACTCTCCTGGCTGCGGCCCTGGGCTGCCTTCCCTGGGATTCCCCACCCCATGTGTTGCCCACAGGGCAGTTAAAGACTCAGAGCCAATTTTTTCATGTTCCCTATGGCTCTCCTCACCTCCAAGAAGAGGAAGCACCAAGTATTTTTAGTGCACAGTTGCTGGGAAAACAGAAAATGATCTCCCAAGAGCAAGTCCCTAGAAAATTTCTTAAAAATAACATTCTTGAAGAGATAAATTCATTCTCTTTAAAGCTTCCAAATGGAAAACATAAAACTCAGCTTAAAAGTAGTAAAAAATATGTTCATTACCAGTTACGCTCCGTAAGGGACAAGAGACAAAGGAATGAAAGTGCATGCTCAGAGGAATTTTACTGGAGATCAGCAGGTGTCTCACGGGTCTGAGGTTCTGTAAAGTTACATTTAGTGTTTTGACCAGGATCATAAGTTTGGCAAACTATTTCTTAAATGTCTATTTGTATATCCAGAATTAAGAGGGCTATAGCAGCTGTTCCCAGGTCTTCATCTGTTTTAGTAGACCTTCAGAGGCTCTGTTCTTGAATGGATTCCTCATGGGTATAGACCAAGGAGGGAGTCATGGCTTGGACCACTTGGAATCCTGAAAGACAGTCTTGAGTATCATGATCCCAAATGTTGAAATCCCAAAAGATCAAAATCCCAAAAATATAATTCTGGAAAAAATAATTTAGAAACATATTTAAAAGATATTTGTATTTTTAAAAAGGGAATTTAAGAAACATAAAAACACAACTGGGCCGGGCACAGTGGCTCACGCCTGTAATACCAGCACTTTGGGAGGCCAAGGTGGGCGGGTCACAAAGTCAAGAGATTGAGACCATCCTGGCCAACATGGTGAAACCTTGTCTCTACTAAAAATACAAAAATTAGCTGGGCGTGGTGGCGTGCACCTGTAGTCTCAGTTAGTAAACTGAGGCAGGAGAATCACTTTAACCCGGGAAACGAAGGTTGCAGTGAGCCAAGATCGTGCCACTGCGCTCCAGCCTGGTGACAGAGCGAGACTCCATCTCAAAACAAAACCAAAAAAGAAACATAAAAACACAACAGAACACTTCACAGGCCACTTTATACAATAAAATTGGCACTAAGAACATACATAATTTTGCAAAATGTTGCTGTATGCTGACAAGAGCTTCGTGGGTCAAACAGTCATGAGCACACAAACCTTACTCCTAAAAAAGTCAAACAGGAAAATTTATCCGTGTATATCAGTACGGTTAGTACTTGCGTGCACCAGCCTCGTAATTCTGGTCATCTGAAATACCATGACAAATAACCAAAGTCTTTTGATGAGCTCAGTTAAAATCTGTGATGGGTCACTATGGTATATGCAGCCACCCACAGAGCTAAGATCTCAGGAAAAATTGTCTTTCACAGAAGCAAGGGTTATCTCCATTCATTGAGGAATTTGGTATTTTTAAGTATATACACAGTGCTTAAACACAAATTAAACATTGTGATAATGTACTTTTCATGAAGTCAAATGTGCAAAAAAACTGCATAAAATGAATTAGAACCTGTAAAAGTTTGTACGCAATTTATACCTCCAGTATTGGAAATGATACAGAATGTAATACAGAGCATGGTGAACTGCTTTCCAGGTTTCCAGGCATTCTCCAGTCCAGTCAAGCTGATGCCTAACAGTTAACCATCACAAATCCACCCCTTGTCAACTTGGCACCCGCATGCATCTTCTGAAGTCATACTTAATTTTCAAACAAAGACAGTAACAGGGTAATAATTCCACCTAACATAATGCAGTTCTTCTGTGATTGCAGTTTTCAGAATTTTGTGAGTGTTTTGTTTTTTTTGAGATAGGGTCTTATTAAGTTGCCCAGGTTGTGGTCTTAGACTCCGGAGCTCAGGTGATCCTTTCAAGTAGCTGAGACTACGGGCACACACCATGGCACCCAGCCTGATTTTTGGAATTTTTGATGTTAAGGATGTTAGACATTGGGGATTTAGACTTTAGGAATTGGCATTCAAGGTGGTGCCTTTCAGGACTACGATCCAGGTCCTGCTCTAGCATCTGTGGCACCTCTCGTGAGCAGGGATTTATCTGCAAGCTGCTCCTAGGTTCTCTGGGAGGCTTTATGATTTAAATTTCCACTCAGGCCTCCCCACACCCTTGTCTGGGATTAAGGGGGCATCAGCCTGACTGCCAAGGTCTGCTTCTCTCTCCACAGGAGTTTCTGAAGGAAGGAACGCTGATGAAAGTAACAGGGAAAAACAGACGCCCCCGGCACCTATTTCTGGTAAGTGCCCGGTCCCCAAGCCGAGCTCTGGAACTGCCAAGTTGTATGAGGTTTTCTAGGACCATTATTCAAGGACAAGTGGAAGTGGGTGGAAGGAGAGTAGAAAAGAGCAGAAATTTGGGGGCGAGGATCATTCCAGACAGCTGAGAGCTTCACCCTTGGAGACCACAGCCCACGGGACATTTGTTATTTGAATGATTTTGAGTGGAATGTTGGCAAAATGTAGTTGCCCACATCTCCACCTTAAATATCTGTCAACCATCTTATCTAATGCTCAGAGAACTGAGGTCCAGAAAGGAAAGTCGCTGTTGGCCAGGCCTCCTGGCAGGATGGTGGCAGAGGCCCAGGAGGGAGCCAGGGGTTGTGACCCAAGTACAGCATTTTCTTTACTGTGTAGGAGATGGGACATAATTGAACGTTTTTGCTTGGACGGCTGTAGTCTTGCCTACCAGGGAGTGTCCAGGCCTAGGGTGTAGCTGTATCAGCGTCAGTGGCTGCTAAGTGCCCCAATCATGGGACCCCCAAGTGGCCATGCCTTTTAAGCCCTCTGCTGGGCAGTTTTCCTCCTGCTCCTGCTCTTCTGCTCTCATGCCTTGTTCCTGTCTGCCACAGCTGCCTCTCCCAGCCTCCTTGTACTTCGTTAGAGCATCGTGTGCAGTGGGAGAGACAGGCCGTGGCAAGAGCCTACGAGCTTGCTCTGTTCCAGGCGTTGACTGAGTGCTCGTGTGTGCTGATGCTAGAAACAAAGAAAGAAAAATCCCAGATCTTGCCTTCAGCCTTCAGAGTCCAATGGGAGGGAGAAGCAAGCAGACAATCCATTGTAAATGCAGAGTTTTGAGCATGATATGGAGGATCTCGGGGGCTGTGGAAGCAAAGAGGACTAAGGAGGGCCGGGGGTAAAGAGAAGAGGCGGCACAGCCACGGCAGCGCTGCAGTGTATGGAGTGTCTGCTGGGTGTGCACGCTGTGCTCAGTGTTTCCTGTGTTTCCTGAAGAATATTCTACCCAAATTCATCCCTGGAGGAAGGATGGGAGTTTGGCATGTGCACCAAAGAAGGACGTTTCCGGAGAGGGAAGTGCCTAGGCAAAGGCTAGAGGCGTGAGGACCATGGTGTGTTGGAAGAGCTCTGTGAGCCTCAAGAAGTCTTTGTCTGCAGCCAGACCCTTCTGCTCCTGAGTGGGGCTTTCCCCATGCCCTGAATAGGTCCAACCCATAGAGGGGCCACTTGAGGGCTGACCTCCAGAGAGTGCTGGTGGTGCTGGTGGAGAAATCCTGAGCCTGGCCAGGAAGTGTGGAGCCTGCGGGGCCGGCAGTGTGTGCTGGGCCCCGACGGCTGGTGTCCTCAGGCTCTGCCTGAGGCACCAGGTAACCCAAGTCCAGAGTCTTCCTCCTTTCTCTCCCTCCTAAGAGCTATTTCTTCCTTCCCACGAGAACCCCTCACTCTGGCTGGTCGGTGCTGCAGTGGACGAGATTTAGCTGCAGGCAAGAAGAGAATGGACCCCCGGGGGGATTTTGAGAGGGATCTGAGAGCCAAGCAGTAGGTGGCTTAGATTTGGGTTCTCAGAAGGATCACAAAGCCCCTAGAGATGTTTGAGTCCTTTTCTCTAGGTCGTTTTTTTGTTTGTTGTTTGTGTTACCTCCGCTTACACACCTCCAGTGTTGGGGTGCTCACTGCCTGCTTAACATTCATTCATTCTACAGCTTACTGTCTATCTCTTCTGCGTGCCATGATCTGTGCTGGTGTGTAGACATAGCCTCTGTCCTGGTGTGTAGACATAGCCTCTGTCCTGCTGTGGGTCTTGGAGTCTAGTGGTGGAAGCCATTTTTTATTCCATATTAAACAAGTCTAAATTTTAAAAATTGTCTTCATTGAGGAGAAATCCTTGCCCCTGAATGTAGGGGGAGGTAAGAGCCAGATGGAGCTGGTTAGATCCTGCCCCGTGGGACACTTACTTCCTCTGTATCCCTTAGACAGCTCACAGGCATGTGCAGGCCTCAAGTTTCCCACCAGGAAAGTGGAAAGACTGGGTGGTTTTGAGAATTAAATGCCTGGCATTTAAGTATGTGCCTGTTAGGTAGAAGCCGCTTATCTGATAGTAGTCACAACAGTTTCTCCCTTCCTGCTGACAGCTGTCCATGGGACACAGGTCCTCCCTCTCTAACTAGAGCGACAGATCTCATCAGCTCCCTGCCCCAGCACAACTCTGCAGGGAGTTGGTGCCCACAACTGGGTTTCTGTGAATTTCCAAAAGGGAGGCCACATAGGATGGCAGTGGGGAGGCAGACAGACGGGATGCAGACCCCAGATGCAGGCCCCAGCTCTGACAGCGACTGGTGTGAGATCCCGTGGGCACACCCCCAAGCCTCAGTGCCCTAATCTTTAAAACAAGGGAAGCAGTGAAGCTGCAGCTGGAAAAGGGAGGAACTCTGTCATGGCCCCTCAGCTGTTTGCATCTGGCCACCTCCTCTGGCCACACCCCCAATCTCTGCACTTCTCCCAAGGATCTTGAATGCCAGGAACAGACACAGCAGCCTGGCATTTCCCAGTCTGTCCTCGCCCCATCCTCTGCCTCATTTGTCCCTGGTCTTGGCTCACCGGCCCTCAGATACCTTGAGGCTCTTTGAGAAGGGTGCCAGCTCCTCCCCTTCAAGCCATGCTCAGATGGCACCTTCTGTCAAAGCCTAAGCACTGCCCCTGCTTCCCCCGCTCCTCCTCCTCAGGCCCTGCTTCTCTTCCCCACACTGTCCCCATCTGGCATGGCCCTTTATCGGAACATCTCTCTCCCTCAGGGATAGGCCCAGGTCCCTCTGGTTCCCTCGCTGTGATTAGGCCATAAGCCCCTGCAGTCTGAACCTGGGTTCTTTGTTCCTCTGGCTCAGCACACCCCTTCTACTGAGCAGTGTTGACAACTCTCTAATGGAGGGGTACATGGGAGGAGGGTGGCCCCACAGGTGCTCAAGCCAGGGAGTGCCATGGTGAACAAACACACTTAGGAAGAATTTTTCTTCCTCAAAGGTGCCAGTTTCAGAAAATAATCTGAACTGCAGAACAGAGTTGGGGCATCTGGGCACCTGCGCCCAGTAGTTTTGTTAGACTGTGGAAAGTGTCCCACCAGGCCCCGACATCCCTGAGCTGTCATGATGGGCTCCTCCTCCTTCCTCCAAGCTGGGGCTGTAAAGCACATACTTTTTGAAGCAGACAGGAGAGCCATGGGCAAATTTGGAGGCAGCCTGGTCCTGAACCATGAAGGAAATGTCGGGGTGCTCATGGCAGTTGCCATGGTGTCAGGAGATTGAGGGACCATCACAGAGAGGCTAGGGCTGCTCTCCCAAGTGACATAGGCCAGTTCCCTGGGGCTAGGAGGATTCATGGGCAAGGCGGTGTGCAGGTTCACTGTGAGAGCAGCCCTGACATCCTCTCCCGAGCACACTGGAGGAGCACTCGTCAAGCTACCCTGACTTCACTGCCTGCTAGCTGTGACCTCAGGCATGACCTCTGGCCTCTCTGGGCCTCAGTTTCTCCCTCTGGGAAATGGGAACGATGATTATGGTGCCTGCACATTAGGATTGTGAGAGTGAAGTGAGAATGCTCATGTTATGGGCTTGGCCCAGCACCTGGTGCAGAATCAGTGTCAAAGCAACGTAGCACCTGTCACTCTTAGAAGGCAAGGCAAGAACAGGGCTTCACAAACTAGAGCTACAGGCCAACACCAGTAGGACACCAATTTTTGTTAATAAAGTTCTGTTGGAACACACCCACACCTATACCGTTATGGGTCGTCTGTGGTTGCTTTGCATAGCAGCGAAGTTGAGGGGTTGAGGGGTGGAGACAGAGGCCTGAAACATTCAATACCTGGCCCTTACAGGAAAGTGTGCCAACCCCCACCTACTCCAACTCTATTGGGAGACATCAAGGCCCAGAGAGAGGGAAGTGTTCCTGAGGTCCCATAGGGGATCAGTATTGGGCCAGGTCTCCTGCACTGCCATGGCTGGAACTGTGGTCTTGAGAAGAGCTGACTGTGGGAAAACTCATCCATTCTGTTCGCTCGCAGGCTCTATCAGGGAAAAAGAAGTATTCATTCTGACTTTTCACATGTGTTGCCTTGGTCTGTCCTCACACACCCCTACTTTGTTTTCCTCCATGCCTGCGGGGCTCTCCTTGGTTCATGTCAGCACCATGTGTAGAGGGCTTGCCTTGGTTCACATTGGTGCCATGTGTCCAGGACTTATCCTGGTTCATGTTGGTGCCAGATGGCCAGGGCTCACTCTGGTTTATGTTGGCACCATGAGGAGAGGGCTCTCCCTGGTTCATGTTGGCCCATGTGGAGAGGGCTCTCCCTGGTTCGTGTTGGCACCATGTGTCCAGGGCTCTCCCTGGTTCGTGTTGGCACCATGTGTCCAGGGCTCTCCCTGGTTCATGTTGGCACCATGTGTCCAGGGCTCTCCCTGGTTCTTGTTGGCACCATGTGGAGAGGGCTCTCCCTGGTTCATGTTGGCCCATGTGCAGAGGGCTCTCCCTGGTTCGTGTTGGC